TGGGAATCTAATTTACAAAAGTGACTTATTAACTGTTGGCTGATTTTGCCATCCGCACCTGGACTCCTGCACACCATGTTTTATCCAGTACTCATTGGACCATGATAGCATAGTTATGATACCATGGCTTAGTACATCAGTCCTCCTTATTCTTGGATTTCATATTTTCAAATCTACCTACTTAACTAAATGTATTGGTAACCCCAAGATCAGTACAGTGATTTTTATGGTCATTCATGTGTGGGATAAGGGTGGAATTTGAGTTGCCCAACTATATTCCCAGCTGAGGTTGAACATGGTGTCAAACCTTCTTATTTCAGATCTCATAGTCTAAACATGTCTTTTTTGCTGTCCATTTAGTGCCACATATTCTGCATTTTTGATCTTTTAGTTGGCAGTTTCTCTGTTTAAAATGGCTCCACGTGTAGTGCCGAAGTGTTGTCAAATGTTTCTAAGTGCAGGAGAACCTTGATGTACCCGATGGAGAAAATACTCTGTTAGGTAAGCTTCATTCAGACTTGAGTCATAGTGCTGCTGGCTAAAACTTCAGTGTTAATAAGTCAACAATATACTTATTAAATAAGGCATCTTTAAACAGAAACACACATAAATCAAGGTTATGTATTGATAGGTTAATGAAACTATGTGGCCAGAGGCTGGCAGGAACCCAGCCTTGTATTGTCTCTAGCAGCAATGGTTCCATATTGTCTCTCTCTCTTTTTTTTTTTAGCATAGTCCGTTGCAGTGTTACAATTTCTGGTATACAACACAGTGTTCCAGTGATACATATACACACATGTATTTGTTTTCATGTGCTTTTTCATCACAGGTTATTATAAGATTGAATATAGTTCCCTGTGTTATACAGAGGAAATTTGATTTTTAAATCTATTTTTATATATAATGTCTAACATTTGCAAATCTCAAACTCCCAAATTTATCCCTTCTCACTCTCTTTCCCCTAGTAACCATAATATTGTTTACTATGTCTGTTGAGTCTGTTTCTCTTTTGTAGATGAGTCCATTAGTGTCCTTTTTTTTTTTTTAGAATCCATACATGAGTGATATCATATGGTATTTTTCTTTCTCTTTCTGACTTATTTCATTTAGAATGATGATCTCTAGGGTCCATCCATGTTGCTGCAAATGTGGCATTATTTTATTCTTTTTTATGGCTGAGTAGTATTCCATTGTATAAATGTACCACAATTTCTTTATCCAGTCACCTATCACTGGACATGTAGGTTGCGTCCATGTCTTGACTATTGTAAATAGTGCTGCTATGAGCATTGGGGTGCATGTATCTTCTCGAATTAGAGTTCCCTCCAGATATATGCCCAGTAGTGGGATTGCTGGATCATATGGTAACTCTGTTTTCAGTTTTTTGAGGAGTCTCCATGCTGTTTTCCATAATGGCTGCCCCAAACTGCATTCCCACCAGCAGTGTAGGAGGGTTCCCTTTTCTCCACAGCCTCTCCAGCATTTATCATTCGTGGACTTTAGAGTGATGGCCGTTCTGACTGGGGTGAGGTGATACTTCATTGCAGTTTTGATTTGTATTTCTCTGATAATTAGTGATATTGAGCATTTTTTCATGTGTCTATTGGCCATTCATATGTATTCATTGGAGAGATGCTGGTTTAGGTCATCTGCCCATTTTTTGATTGGGTTTTTTTTGTTGTTGTTAGGTTGTATGAGCTGTTTATATATTCTGGAAATAAAGCCTTTGTGAGTCACATCATTTGCAAATATTTTCTCCCATTTTGTGGGTTATCTTTCTGTTTTGTTTATGGTTTCCTTTGCTGTGCAACAGCTTATGAGTTGAATTAGGTCCCATTTGTTAATTTTTGCTCCTATTTCCATTGCCTGGCTAGACTGCCCTAGGAGAACATTGCTAAGATGTATGTGCGAGAATGTTTTGCGTATGGTTTCTTCTAGGAGGTTTATAGTGTCTTGTTTTGTATTTAAGTCTTCAAGCCATTTTGAGTTAATCCAGTGTTCTGGCAACCTTACAGAACATAATCAGTGTGGATAGTGAAAATTGACTGTATTATTGCTAAATGTTGGGGCTTTGATGTCAGTCTGGTTTTAATTTTTAAACATTTTCTTCTCATTTGTAAATTGTGGTCTGCATCTTTAGGACTGATGAAGTACTTTCCTAAGCAAGGTATGGATGTCCTTCTCAATCTACTGCTCTTATAATGCAGCCTTATAGGTTCTAGGGTTAGATTGGGTAGTGAAAAAACAGCTCTGGGACAGAGGAAAGTCTTTGATTTTTAGGAAATACAAGTTTTCCAAATAGGCAAGTATTTTATTGGATTGTATTTTAGTATCTTAATAAAAATGTAGGTTCTCCCAGGGGATATTTTCAATATCTATTGTCACCAAGAGTTTGATTTAAATAATAATTATTTAATGAATAGATGAAATTACACCTTAAATCCAGAATCTAGCAGGCAATATCTTTTTTCTATAAAAACTGCATTATTTTAAATAAAACTTTAATACTTGGCCTTCTCATATTCTTTATTTTAATGGCATTCATTTCATATTTTAAACATGTATGTATGAAATCTGAAATCAGAACTGTCTAAAAACTTTTCCAGAGTTCTTTGTGTTTATAGGGTTGGTACTGTTTTTGTGTTGGTTTTTGCTTCTACTGCCTTGTCCTCTTAAATTTCTTAACATGTTTTTCTCTATGAGTTATATACTACTCGAGAACTCAGGTATTTGATATTTTTAGGGAATTTTAAAGCAACATAAAAGATTTTTTCTAAAATTCATGAAACTGATAGTTGCACATCATGAATTTAAGGCCTGCTTCTGCAGTCACTCAGCTTAGTTAAAGAAAATCATTTAACTCTTTTGATGAGTTAAGAACAGACCGAATGCCTTGGAAATCCACTGTGGTTTAGAAATTACAAGACTTGACTCTGTTACAGAGTCCAAACACATTCTGCTCGCTACACGACAGGCCAGTAAATCAGGAGACAAGGTGTTGGGGCAAGGAGTAGTGACTTTATTTGAAAAGCCAGCAGACCAAGAAGATGGCCGACTAATGTTTTGGAGGACCATCTTACTCCAGGCAGAATTCAGGCTCCTTTTATACTGAAAAGGGGAGGGAGTGTGATTGGTTGTTGCAGACTTCTTGGTGTAGGAATTCTTTGTTCTTATTGCTGTCCATGTGGGTCAGGTCATGGTGCCTCTGTAAAACCTCTAACAAAATAAATGTTATTTTTTATTTTGCAACTTGTTATGTTTATATAGGTGCAAAGTTGTTAATATCCTTAAAGGTCAGAGCTTGAGAATAGGTTCTCCTGTATATTTCAGGGTAAAGGCAACATTGTTTTACAAAAGGTGCAGAGCTAGCAAGACTGAGCCTAGAAAACAAGGCACAGGGTTAAAACCAAAGAAACAGATCTAATATGGAGTCAGATTCTTTTCTCTTACAATGCTTGAGTATAAATTAATACATTATTTCAGAGGAATCAAAAAGCTTTTTTACTCTCACCTCCTCACCAATTGTCTTGTCTCCTGGCCCGTGGGCCCTGAGTTTAATGGTGGCTGATAGGGGGTTAGAATCCGGTTCCTCTTCTTCTTAACTGTGTGACCCTGGAAACTACTGAGTTGATTTCCTCTTAATACATTACATTTAATACATTTCCTCTTAATACACGCCACAGCCGTGCTGCCCTAGAACTTAAGGATACTGTGACAGTGCTCCCAAAGCTGTTTGCATGAGATTGCAGTTCATCATGTAGTTATGTGATTGCCTTGATGTTCTTAGATAACTTGAAAAAACCCGAATGGCAGGAGCTCTGTCTTCTTATTTATCTGGCACATAGTAAGTACTCAATAAATACTGAACCAAGGAATTCCCATTCCCCAAATTAAAATTCTCTATAACCCCACTTTATCCCCAGAAAAAATTTTTTTTAACTTTTGGTTTTTTATAGTATTTTTGGTTTAATACTAATTTCAGATACATTGTATTTTTACATTGTGGGGGCGGTACATAATCGATGAATGAAGAATGGCATTGGCTAGCCAGGAATCATCATTTCAATCATAATGCTTTCTGTAGTTTCTATTAAAAACCATTAGAAGTTTAGATGTTCACTTATAAATGTGCTTTTGACACCTATTGGAGACTGTCCATTTCAGCTTATGAACATTCAGATTACAGTCCAAAATAAAGGGAGCATTCTACCTGCTCATGGGAAAAGAGTGAAGCAGCTCCACATGGATTCAAGTTGCAGGTGTGGTCAGTTGGTGGGTGGTCTCTGCTATTAGGTGGATGTTGGGGGTGACAGCATGAAGGAAATCCCCAGCCCAGGGGCCTCTCATTAAAAAGCTCCGATGTCTCTCTAAACAGATTTTTTTTGGAAATTTTTTATAGCCTTTTCTAAGACTGTCAGGGATTTTTTTCCACCTCTTGGTGCTAGTGAAGTGGTCATCAAAAGGATGAAGTGGTGAAGATAGTACATGTTTTTGGAAGATGAAATTATGAAGTGAAGCACAGTCCTTGAGTTATTTGTAGACATTTATCATCAGCCCTGCAGAAATGTTTTTCATACCTTTCTCTCTACATCCCCATTCCCCAGTTAGACTAAAGCATGTATGTTTTATTTATGGGGAAGTTTTAACAGTTTTCATTTCTAATAGGATCCTTCTCTTTTTTACTCATAGCTTTCTAGAATATCTCCAATTAGTTAATTGTGAACAAATCCTTAAAACAAAATTACTTAAATTCTCTTTCATTCTTAAAAGTTGTATGCAACTCAATCCTTTTGTCTTTTTAAAGCCAAGGGAAGGATGGCTTTAGGTATGCACCTGTGAAACCCTGGATGAGAACAGGAGCATAGGTGTGCACCTGCAGCATAGGGGATCCTGGGTGACAGTGTGCTTTTCCATAGGTCTCAGTCACATTTGCAGACAGTCTGGTCAGCTGCCCAGCTATTGGAGCATTGCTCTCTGCCAGTTATGGAGTAAGCCTCATTGTGCTGGTGGCCACAGTGGTGGCTCTTCTGGACATCTGCTTCATCTTATTGGGTGTTCCAGAATCTCTGCCAGAGAAGATGAGACCGCTTTCCTGGGGAGCTCAGATTTCGTGGAGACAAGCAGATCCTTTTGCGGTAAATACAAACACTAAACATTTACTTTCTTACATACATCTTTCTAAGCCATGTAAATAAAAGAACATTTCTGCAGCCTCAAGCATCCTAGCAGTTGTTGGTCCTTTTTTTTCTCCAGTAAAAATAGAAAAAATTTAATTGCCAAGTTAGGGACTGAGGTAGGCTGTACAACAAGGAGTATATATAATTCATACTTCTTAAATCCAGCATGTGGTTATCATAAGGGAAGGGACAAGAAATTCTTGTCTGGTTAATTCCTGATGAAGGCTTGAGAAGGAAGATTTTTTATTTCTTTTTGCGCAGTTTTTATCCCATTTTTTTTAAACAAAATGAATGTAGACATTTGAAGTGGTTGTTTTCGTTTACTTAAATTCAAAAGTGTTAAATGCATTTGAACTGACTGAAATAGTTATTTTTAACTTAATATACACCCACTTTGAACAGAGATTTTAAACTTCTTTTACAAATTGGATTCTTTGTTTTCTATTTTTTTGTTTGTTCTTTGGCATAGGGGAATTCCATTAATAACGAAAAAAAGTGCTGAGAAAAAGAGTCTTTCCTCTCCATCTGGTTT